CACATTTTATATTAACTACTTGCATCACAAAATAAGTACTATGTACTTATTGTGTTTACATTGTATTGTAAAACACTTTTGCTGCTATACGGGTAAGGTTAGGGGCAGGTTTAGTGGTATTGGTAGGTTAAAGGGTGGGTTAAGATTTAAAGGATTAGTCAACATGTGTAATTATAGGTGTAATTACAGAACTTAGTAATTACCAATGTAAAAGCATGCATGTACACACTAATTGCATTATATCAAAGGATGAATTTAAATGTTAGTACATAGTAGTTCAAGACCCCCAATATAAAGTGGGACCGAAATTTCTACTGATACGTATATTCAAATAACCAAACTTTAATCTAAATCTAAATGCCAAAATTATAATTACAGCAGAAATACCAAAAATAGACAAGCATATATTGGGGAGCCCTTGACTTTTGTCATGGAGAATGGGGACTTTGAGACAAAAAGGTTGAGAACCACTGCAGTAGAAAGATAGATCTAATCACATGTGTAGTACCTGCACAGAAAGAGAGTTTGCATGAGGCACTATGTTAATAGCACCAATTAATTTACCGAATATTAAACAATAAATATAAATGCCTCACACATTGGAAAAAAGGGGTTTCATCATAAGATCTCAACTAATGTTACAGATTGTTTTCTTCGCTGATTATTTACCAAATTTTTTATTCAAAATGGTGTCATTTTAACAGATAAAAAAAAGGTGTCTGGTCTTGCATTTTCCTTCTTTCCAAACAGTCCCACAGTAAAGGAAACAAGATATTCCAAGTGTCATCCAGTGAAAAAAATTTCATAGAATATTAAATTGGGTGACCTGAGTGTCTGTCTTTCATTTTCATTAAAAAGAAAAATACAAAAACATCCAAAACACAAGTCAAGAAATCTTTAAATGCCCTGCTTTGGATAAAAGCATCTGCCAAATTAATCAATTTAATGTGCACATGGTAATAAACATGCAGAGTATCCACTGTATCTGTTCAACATTGCAAGAGCCAAAATATGTGGGGGTGACCTGCATGAGTGCATCAGGTAAGTTAATAAGCCCGCGTACCCATAAGTCAACAGGAGGAGCCTACGGTCACATTTAGCATCTCTGTCCCTCAGGGTAACTTCAGATAGCTGAAAGCAGGTCCAGAGGCCCCACAGTCTGCAACAATCAAACTACTGTTAAAGAAAGCAAATGTCTGTAAGACAATAAAAGCCTTAATCAATCAGCCCGCTGTGCTTATGTTTATGAGCCTGTAGCACCAACCATCCATCATTTGGTTTTTACCACTCAAAACACAGACGCAGAGACAAAAGAATGGCATAATGTGAGGAGCGGGCCTGCTGCATACTAAATTAATAAAACAATTGCAGCCTTTCACGACAAAATAAGCAACATGATTTAGCACACTGCTCCGAGAAGTTTCTTTTCAAGAGGACTGGTCAGAAATTAATGTTTGTGTTCAGCGCTGTGAGTCATGATAGTTGTTATAACAGTCTGTCATGGTAATAGTACAAATACATCACCGCATTCAGGTGAGTGGAGCACGGTGTACAACGTTCACTTTATCAGCTCGTGTCGTAGGAGATATTATCAGCTATGAGTTCATTTTTGTCTTAACAGCGTCTTAACCTTAGCCCAAGCTATCTGCCTTCCCTCCCTAAATGCGATTTGTTGACAGCCACTTTACAGACCTGTGCCTGATGTTTCGAAGAGTGACGTTATCTCGCTCCAGAAGGGGGGCAGGAAGTGATAGTGGAAAGGGATGAGTTCAAACACATTGCAGTGTGTGCACACAGAGGAGTGAAGGTAGAAGCTTTATCTAATCACGCTGCTCCGACTGATGAAATAAACTTCCGTGCGTGTGACGCAGCGTGCAAATGTGTAAGTTGTACAGGTTAGTGTGTGTGTAATCACTCGGTTTCTTCAGCGGTGAGATTTATCCCCTTTTCAATATTTTTAAATAAATAAAAAATAGAGATAATAAATAGAGATTTAAAAATACACTACCGCTCAAAAGGTTTGGGCCGGAACGATTTTTGAAAGCCTCTTATGTTCAGCAAAGCTGTATTTATTTGATCAAAAATACAGTAAAACAGTAATATTGAGTACTTCAGTACTCTTTCAGAAGATGTGTCACAACGCCCCTACCGTATAACAGTGAAAACACGGAAAGACGGAACTTTTCCTCTTTCCGGGGAAAGAGTTAAATAAAGTGGATAAATTAACAACAACAACAAAACCAAATTAACACAAAAAAAAAAAACATGATGTAAAAGAAACATGCTTAAAGGAGCATTGCGTAAGTTCTGAAATTTCTAACCGTTACTGACACCAGTGGCCGTTAGAGAAACTGCAGCCAGTCTCATGCTCGTTCTCTGTGTTCTCGGTGCGCACGCTCGTACGAGCACACGACCACAGCAAACAGAGAGTTGCCGCAGCAACCACAGACGGCTCATCGAGATTCACCAGCATGTTTACAGAGGTAAGAAAAGTTACAGCGCTGACCAGAGCTCCCTCCAAGAATCAAATGCCGCTCCGATGTTGACTCTTGTCTTTGCCCGATGCCGGTCACTCTCTATTTTGGCCGCACTAGATAAGGCTTTTTTTTTTTTTTTTACTTACGAGGAGTTTCCGTGGGTGTCTGGATTGTTGAAACAGTAGTAAGCAGTGGCAATCGCTAGCAGTAATGGTTGCCGTACGGATGTAAGCCCAAGTAGACGAGAACGCGCATGATGTCATATTTTGTGAATTTTCGCACCAATTCAAACCCGAGTCACCCGACGACTCCACATACAATTGAGCCTACAGGCTGATAGAGGTAACCGTGGTGGACAGTCAAGGTGTCATTCTTTCTATTACATTATGGTTGGCTCATAAATGTACAAATGAAAACTCTATCTTAAAGATTTTTTTAAGTTAAATCCTGCACATATCCCCTTTAAAGGGTCATGAAAGCCCCCTCTTTCAGCTCAAGTCTAGCTCACAATCTTTGAAAAATGTAACTTAAATGGGTTGGATGGCTGTGAGAAGAAGGGAGGGGAGTGGGTGTGGTATGGCACGGCAGGGGAGAGGGGAGGGCGGGATAACTGACATCGGCCAGTGGCCCATGCATATCAATTGTAAAACGTGAGGAAATGCTAGATTTTTTTTATAGCTGGCAAAGTTAAAGTCTAATGAAATACACTGACATCTTATTTTTGTCCTTTCAAAAGTAACTGAATGCCCTGCTACATAGGCCTAAATTAGCCTACACAGTAATCGTAATTCTATTTAAAACATATTCATGTACATGTACAATTATAATGACATTATAAAATATATATTTGTTTATATACACACTATAAATGAATATATTTGAAAATAATTCATTTTAAATGATTATAAAGATATTGCTCTTGCCTGTGTGACTAGTATTCGCTGAGTTTTGTTTAGAGTCGTGCTCCAGAAAAAAAGTTCACGGAGACGGAGAGGCAGAAAGCACATCCTGTTTATTTTCTTTATTTTATAAAAGCACACTGTTTTGTTTCGATTGTAAGTGGACACATAAAAAAGTAGACATTTAACCGTTTATTTTTTCATATTTCTTAAGTCTGTATGACCATAAATGACGGAGTATTTTAAGTCTATTTTGCTGCTATGTGAAAAAAAATCCAGCAAAACGCACCGGTGCGTTTGTCGACCCCAAAGGTTTAACAAAACTAAGGCAAGTAAAACAGTCAGGGTTACATTTTTTTGGAGACACACACACCTCTGCATCACTCGCAAGACGCAACTTGGATTGGTGAACAAGGCCAAAGTCCACCATTCTCCAGTTCTCAAAGCTCTCTCTCGCTACAAAAATGCTTGTTACACACACATAGTTTAGATGTGTCCGTGGTTTATGGCCAACCAACCGCCCGCAACCAGAGTCTAGCCCTGGCAGCATCGCGGGGAAAGATATGCAACGCACTGGAACTTTTGCACCACGAAAACAAACACTTGCGTCCCATGATTGTCTCTCACATCTACTGCGCGATATCACAGTTTGACATGTCTGTCATTGGAAAGATCCACGTGGTGTCATGAATAATTAAGAGACAGTGTCTTCTCATAGGATAAGAAAACTCAGTTTAATGAATAATTATGAGACACCGATGAGTCAAAGCACTTAAAGTGCTCTGCCACGTCACAGTCTGTGACGTGGACACGATGAAGATTTTAAACCCGGAAGACAAAAATAGCGGAAAAAACTAAAATTTAACCATTTTCCCCCTACTATTAAATCTAACAGATGCTTACATTGTCTTCAATGGTGTTCAACACAGATACCTCTGTTAAAATCTCAGAAAATGGGGTTTAGGGTTTCATGACCCTTTAATGACTACACCGTACCACAGATGGCTAAGTGTGTGCGTGTGCTTGTGTCCTTGACGCTGTCTGACAAAATGAACCACGGCCTGGTCTGTAGTTTTCATTGTCTGATTTAAGAATGCAGTTTCAGCACAACATCAACACTGTTTACAGGTACTAGCAGGCCTGGGCATCACTCTGGGGTTAAAGAGAGGGGATAACCCCCTTAAAGGGGCCACTTTACAGAAACAAGAGGACAGGGAGGAGCCCTTAATGTTGTAAAGGTTAAGACGCAACTTCAATAGGGATATTCAGTTGTTTCAGGCCTTACGAACTAATAGTCTGATCTGAATAAAGACAGATTATCACACACACAGTAGTCTGTGAGGAAATAATAAAGAAAGAGTAAAATGGTGTGTGTGCTATGTGTTGGTATGCATATCTGTGTGTGTGTAAGGCTGGTTCTCTCAGTTATCGGAACAAATGGGTTATGTCTCAGTCACCCTTATCTCAGAGGAAGGAAGTCAATGGGCTATCAGCACGTGTGTATGCGTGTGTTTGTGTGAACTCTCTCGGCCTGAAGGATTGTCCTGAACAAAACTGAAGAAAAAAAGAGTCCACAATTCACTGAAGATGTGGCATTAAACGAGTTTTGCAAATGGGCACATACCTGTCCCTCCATGTCTGTCTGTGCTGCTGTCTGTCCGTCAGGGCGTTCAGCAAGATGTCTGCAATCTCTCTCCTGTTCTCCTGTGTCGTGTTCTCATCCTCAACCACAGCCAAAAGCAGCTGAGTCTGGAAACAAACAGCACAGTAAGCTGTGACTGCAAACTACAAATAACACAAGGTCAGTTTCAGTCAGTCAATTATTACACATTAAACAGCAATTTAACACTATATGCTACCGTTCAAAAGTTCGGGGTCAGTACAATTGTTTGTATTTTTTTTTATAATGTAATTATTTTTCCCTGAGGTTCTGCACCAAAAACAATAGTAAATCAACCATTTTCTACCCATCTCATAATAAATTGACAGAATATTAACAAATTTATGACTGACACAAATATGGTAACATAAAACCACATTAGGGTTACAAAGCAGTTCTGGCTCTTAAAAGATCCCTGAGAATCCTCAATAGAAATACAACCACTCTTATCTTGAAATAAAGGAAATAAAAGGAATCAAGCTTCACTACCGATCCCATAGACAAGCTCTTTTATCCAGTGCTTAAACAAATCAATATACATTCATTCCCTTCATGTCAGAGGTCAAATCTATTCTTTATTTATGCTGCAGGACTCCATTTTACAAACACTGATGGTTAACCCAGAATCAGAAACAGAAGGACAAAATTATATTTGCTTTTCAATGTCTCTGTGTACATCTTTTTTTTTTCAATGCAATAATATATAAACATTTTTAAATATACACTACTTGAAAGAAGTCTCTTATCCTCACCAATTTGATAACCATTTAATTATAATTAACCATATCATAATTTATAATCATTTATTTGATCAAAAACACAGTAAAAACAGTACTATTGTGAAATATTATTACAATTTAAAATAACTGCTTTCTATTTTAATACAAATTAAAATGTAATTTATTCATGTGATGTCAAAACTGGATTACCAGAAACATTACTTCAGTCTTCAGGGTCACATGATCCTTCAGAAATCATGTCTAATATGCTGATTTAGTGCTCAAGAGACATTGCTTATTATTATAAATGTTGTGCCGTTTAATATTTGTGTGGAAATTGTGTTCCATTTTTTTTTCAGTATTCTTTGATAAATAGAAAGTTTAAAGAATGCAGCATTTATTTTATCTTTTGTAACATTGTAAATGTCTGTACTGCCCATTTGACCCATTTCCTGACCCTTTTAATGCATCCTTACTGAAAATTTCTTTGAAAAAGAGATACATTTACATTTATTCATTTAGCTGACGCTTTTATCCAAAGCGACTTACAATTGCTATATATGTCAGAGGTCACACGCCTCTGGAGCAACTACAACTACGCCTCTGGAGCAACAAGTGTCTTGCTCAGGGACACATTGGTGTCTCGCAGTGGATTCGAACCCGGGTCTCTCACACCAAAGGCATGTGTCTTATCCACTGCACCATCACCACCCACCCAGATACTGGAAATGTTGGGGAACACAGTCTGACCCCATAAAGAGAGGCCAATATGTTCAATGAAGACCAGAAGTAAAATTTGAAGTGCAATTAGTTGACTGAAGTTTACTGAGGACAAAGTCCTCCACACCTCCAATGACCATATAGAAAATGGTCTATGATGACCATATGATGGTCTATCAATAGTCTATAATCATTATTCAAAAGGAGAAACTGGAACAAGGATATACAAAATATACGCAGATATACAAAACATAAAGCAGTACTTGCATACCGTTTTGAATATCAGTTTTGTTGATAACTTTCTTCATTTTAAGCGGCTCATGTTATGAAAATATTCGTGTTTTGGAATGCTCCGGGTAGGATAACATTAGATCAGCCTTCTGTCTCCGTCTTGACTTACTGATTCCATTTCATCACTTTCGCTTTAATTCTCGTGCACCGACTCGTTTGCTAAACTGAACATCCAATCAGAGTTCCCACACTCACTGACGGTCAGACGCCAATTCAAAATACTGAATCGGGCAAACTGCTGCCAACATGAGCCAGACGAGAGCCGACGTGTGGAACACACCGCAAAAACTAGCCCAAGAGACACTTGCCGACGGCTCGACGTTGGCAGACGCCCGACCGTCGGCTTGGTGTGTCCCAGCTTCAAATGTAGTTATTTAAAGAATATATCTGTGACATACTAAGTTATCATTCGTAAGCAACTATCATAAGGATCAGAGGAGAGTCAGAAATCCCAAAAGGGCACTTCTCATCTGGGGGACTGTTGATTTGGTCACATTCCTAAACAACCCCTGCGAATATACCACTACAACATAGGCGATATCCTTTCAGGGCTGAGACACACCACATCACTGGACAGAAAAACACATCCAGGCAAAGCAAACTTGAGTGATATAAACAGAAGTTGGTGCTGTAAATGGTGCTGAAACACTAAAGAATAGCAATTGGCACTGTTCCTGTATTCCTGACATGGCTCAGACCTTTAGTCATTTCTCAGATACCAAATAAAGACATTGCCTGTAACATTATTACCAGGATATATGCAATAGATTTAAGAAACTATGATTTCCTATTCGTTCTAACAAAAGAGGTCCACCCCTTCAGTATATAAAAATATTAAAAAAATTAATATAAACATTATATATACAAATATTTGTATACATTATTTTAAAGGTATCTGAGTTTTCTTTTATAAAGATGTAAAATTCCAAACTTTCCCTCTCTCGCCGTCTTCCTCAGTAGGAGCTAAAATGATTGACAGGTGAGAAAGCATACGCAAAAAGTGCTCTCAGCGTTGGTTCACCTCAAATGTTTCACAGCGATCTCCTTTGCTTTATTTCTTTTCATCCCCCGTTCATCCGTGAGACAGCACTTCTGTCTCTCACTAAAGCATTACCTGTCAGCAGTGGTTACCTGTTAGAGTCATCCTGTCTAAGAAAGCGCTGGGTGAAAGAGTCTGCCAAGACTAACTCTGACTATGGGGGTCACAAGGTCAGTTGAATCACATCAGACTAAACATAGATCACACAACAACAATGACTCATGATCGTCTGTGTGTGTGTGAGAGAGAGAGACTATGTGTTATGTGTTTACAAGGTGGGTTGATGAGAGAAATTTACACAACCAACTTACGTTTACCACCCAATATATGCTCACCTTATCTGTGTGTGTGCCCTTGTTTACCCCTGAATGATGGTAGCTGTCGTCAGCTGGTTGATGTTGTGCAGTGCTCCTGGGTTCAGGACCACAGTGAAGAGGGTGAGACAGAGGGCAAGTGACTAACAGAGGCGGCTGTGTGTATTTGTACAAGGAAACACACTTCGGGTTACCCCACACTAACAGAGGGGAAGTATAAACACACATGCACACTCACCAGGACTATGTGGCAGGTACACCAGCTAACCAATGGCAGAAAGGCCATCCAAAATGCCTACAGAAACCTGAACAGCTAGCGTCAGAAAGGAGACACTAAGATAATGTGTGACATGAGAACTTAAAATGCATAGCAGCCAGGGGGCATTCTTTAGAAAACCTCCGTTTGACAAAACACACACAGCTAGACTGTATTTTATGACTTTGTAAAGCATAGGCAATGTGATAAACACAAAGGTAAAGAAATCATAATTTTAATTTACGTCAGTAGGTTTTTCTGTTTGATGGTTTTTCTATTTGATGGACAGATGTAATGGACATTAGTGTGTGTGGAGCATGTATATCAGCATGTATGTGGGTCAGTGACAAATAAGGTTTGTCAAGATGAGAAATTCGAAAATCTTGTAAAAAACTTGTTTTAAAAGCATGCATCAGGTATGTTAAAATGTGCATAGTGTATTTATGTTGATTTTATGTAATTAAAAATGACATCTGCACCATTTTCTACGAAAGTTAAGACTGAATGTACCTGAATGTGTCAAATGGTGTAACTGCCAAAGAATGAGAAATATTAAATATTTTATCCACCTGGATGGCATGTAAGTGTACATATATTAAAATTAAGTATTTATTTATAGATCACACGAAACTAGATTTTATTACAGTTATCTCTAAATGTAATTTTTAATGTGTTACAATATTTGGCAGGACATATGCTGAAAACACCTCAGTTTTCAAAATAATCTTTGACAAATTATGTAAAAAAATTTAAAAACCATATTATTCCACATAAAATTTCCTGTATATAATTATATTTTTATGAAAAATACCTGTTACACCAATTGAAAAAAAACAGTTACACCACCTGACCATATTGCTTCTAGAGTCAAAGGCCATTGTTTGTTGAAGAAATTGTGACTAAAAATCAAGCATGAAAGTCAACAAGTTCAGCAGAAGTGGTTATATTTTTGTCAATGCTGAAAAAAATAATGCTGAAAATAGCTAATGAGGTTCATTCTCGTGTTCTGCAGCACGTTTGAGCTTCAGCAAGAACCAATGAGGTTCATTCTTGTGTTACGCAGCATGTTTAAACTTCCGCAAGAACTAATGAAGTTCATTCTTGTGTTACGCAACACGTTTGAGCTTCAGAAAGAACCAATGATGTTCATGCTTGTGTTACGCAGCATGTTTAAACTTCCGCAAGAACCAATGAGGTTCATTCTCGTGTTACGCAGCACGTTTGAGCATCCGCAAGAACCAATGAGGTTCATTCTTGTGTTATGCAGTACTTTTGAGCTTCCGCAAGAACCAATGAGGTTCATTCTCGTGTTACGCAGCACGTTTGAGCATCCGCAAGAACCAATGAGGTTCATTCTTGTGTTATGCAGTACGTTTGAGCATCCGCAAGAACCAATGAGGTTCATTCTTGTGTTATGCAGTACGTTTGAGCTTCCACAAGAACCAATGAGGTTACATTGGTTACATTGAACACTTGGAAAGAGTTCCAAATAGTAGGTCAGGGCTCCAGACTGCGACCAAAATTTGAGAGTGTGCGACTGAATTTTACATCCAGTCGCACATGTGCGACCAGTAAATGGCTAATTTGTGGAGGGGGAGGGTCCTAGAGATAATCGAGCGCGCATTTAAACGTCTGTGGGAAGGAGACGGAGACAAACCTGCTATGTACGTTTGAGCCATATGGTCTGAGCAATCATGAGCAAGCAAACTATTGACTCGTTCTTCCGACCTGCGGCTAGTGTGCCAGTTAA